AACAGATTGGCACAGGAGATCGCTTCCTATGTATAACCCCAGCAGCACAGACATTAAGGGCATCATTGAATAATTGGGACCTACTAAAACTGAAAAGCTTCTGTAAAGCAAAGGACACTGTCACTAAGACAAAAAGGCAACCCACTGACTGGGAGAAGATCTTCACCAACCCCGCAACAGACAAAGGTCTGATCTCCAAAATATATAAAGAACTCAAGAAATTAGACTTTAAAATGCTAATTAACCCAATTAAAAATGGGGCACCGAACTGAACAGAGAATTCTCAACAGAAGAAGTTCAAATGGCCAAAAGACATTTAAGGTCATGCTCAACCTCCTTAGCGATCAGGGAAATGCAAATCAAAACAACTTTGAGATATCATCTTACACCTGTCAGAATGGCTAAAATCAAAAACACCAAGGATAGCCTTTGCTGGAGAGGTTGTGGAGTACGGGGTACACTCATCCATTGCTGGTGGGAATGCAAACTTGTGCAACCACTTTGGAAGTCAGTGTGGCGGTTTCTCAGGAAATTCGGGATCTACCTACTCCAGGACCCAGCAATACCACTCTTGGGAATATACCCAAGAGATGCCCTATCATATGACAAAAGCATTGGTTCAACTATGTTCATAGCAGCAGTTTCCATGAGTTTGTAGGCTCTTTGTGGGTAGCATTGTTGTATTCTAAGTTTAATCCATGGTGATCCAATAAGACACTGGTGGTTACTAATATTTTCTCTATGGTATCTTCAGAATCTGAGAATCTTTCTTCTATCTTTTGTATTGTTGGTTATGCTTGTTACTATAGTCTCTATTCATTTACCTAGATTTTCCATGTCCAGCCGGCCCTCTGTTTGTGTTTTCTTCTTTGCCTCCATTTCAGTTTTCACGTCTTGAACTGTTTCCATTATCTGTTTGATTGTTTTTCCTTGGTTTCCTAGGATATCATTTACGGATTTATACAATTCTTCAAAATTTTTGTTATTCTTCTCATCCATGTCTTTAATTGAGTTTTTCCCCTCCTGTTTAAGGGCCTCTATAACTTTTATAAAGTCAAATTTTTCTACTTCTCCTTGGTTAAGGTGTTCAAGTCCTCCTGTTGCAAGTGTGCTGGGTTCTGGTGATTTCATGTTGTTTTTCAGATTGTTGGAGGAATTCTTGCATTGGCACCTGCCCATCTCTTCCTCTGAATGCTCCCTATGGATCTTCTTTTATAGGATTGGATCTCCTTGCTGGCCAGGGAGCTCACAAACAAAAGGCCAACCTTGCTGCAGGCAGGCTATTGAAACAATGGCAACCCGCCCACCCAGTTGCACTCACGACTTGGTCCCTGCACCCAAGCAGGCTGAGCTGGGGGATATTATGGGCCCAAAGAGGGGAGGCAGAAGCTAGGGGATTTCTGGATGCAAGATGGGTTGGGTAGGAAGAGAGAGGCAGGGGCAGGGAGGGGGCCATGGGTCCTGAAATGACATCACAGGTCCTGCAGGTCCCTGAGCAGAAGGAAGGGCATCCTGATCGACACCACAGTACCAGCAGGTCCCTGAGCAGTGGGAGGCAAGGGGTGGTAGGTCCACAGTGAGTGCCACAGGTCCTGCATGTCCTTGAGCAGCCTGCAGGGGGGAAAGGTGTCCCAACAGGACACCACAGGTCCTGTGGGTTCATGGGCAGCCTACAGGGGGTAGGGAGTCCTGAGAGGAAACCTCTGGGACTGCAGGACCCTGAGCAGTGGCAGGCAGAGGGCAGTGGAATCTGAGATGACAGCACAGGTCCGGGGTGTCCCTGAGCAATGGCAGACAGGGAGTCCCTAGAAGATGGCACAGGTCCCACAGGTCCCTGAGATCTGTGCAGGGGGCAGTTGCTCCCGAGAAGACAGCACAGGTACTGCTGGTCCCTGACCAGCCTGCAGGGGGCATTGCTTCCCAAGACGAGAGCACAGGTCCTGCGGGTCCCTATGCAGCCTGCAGTAGGCAGTGGGCCCCGAGACACCATAGGTCCTGCATGTTCCTGAGCAGCAAATGGAAGGGGGCATGCGGTGCCAAGACGACAACAGGTAGGTCCAGTGGGTCCAGGAGCAGCAGCAGGCAGGGGTCTGTGTGTCCCTATACAACATCACAGGTCTTTGGGTCACTGAGCAGTGGTTGGCAGTGGTCAGTGAGTCTGAAGTTGACACCGCAGGTCGTGCGGGTCCCTGAGCAGAGGCTTGCAAGGGGCAGTGTGTCTCGAGACAATAGCACAGGTACTACAAGTCCCTGAGCAGCCTGTAGGGGCAGAGCATCCCAAGATGACAGCACAGGTACTGTGGGTGCATGAGCAGCCTATAGTGGCAGGGGGTCCTGAGCTGACACCACTGCTCCTGTGGGACCCTGAGCAGTGGTAGGTAGGGGGCAATGAGTTCCAAGATGATAGCACAGGTCCTGAGGGTTCTTGTGCAGTGTCAGACAGGGTGTTCTGAGAAGACACCACGATCCTGAGTGTCCCTAGGCAGTCTGCACGGGGCATTATATCCTGAGACGACACCACAAAAAATGTGGGTCCCTGAGCAGAGGCAGCCAGGGTGTTCCCGAAATACATCACAGGTCCTGCGGGTCTCTGAGCAGCCTACACTTGGCAAGGAGTCCTGAGATGACACCACTGTTCCTGTGAGTGCCTGAGCAGCCTACAGGGAGCAGGGAGTCCCCAGGTGACAACACGGGTCCTGCAGAGGGCAATGCATCCCAAGAGGGAAGCAGACGTCCTGTGGGTCCCTGAGCAGTGGCAGACAGGGTGTTCTGAGAAGACACCACAGGTCCTGCAGGACCCTGAGCAGCATGCAGCAGGCTGTGTATCCCAAGAAAACACCACAGATCTTCGGGTTCTTGAGCAGCAGTAGGCTGGTGGCAGTGAGTCCCGAGATGACACCACAGGTCCTGCAGGTCCCTAATCAGCGACAGGCAGGCAGCAGCGGCTCCCGAGGCGACACCACAGGTGTTGCGGGTCACTGACAGCGGCAGGCACGAGGCAGTGGGCCCAGGGACACCAACACAGGTCCTGCGGGTCCTGAGGTGACAGCCCAGGTTGTGAGCGACCCTGAGCAGTGACAGGATGGAGACAGATGACCTGAGATGGCAACACAGGTCCTGAGGGTCCCTGAAAAGCTGTACCAGAGGCAATGAGTTCCTAGACAACACCACAGATCCTGCAGTTCCCTGAGCAGCCTTCCTTGTGTAGAGGGCCCCAATACAACAACACAGGTCCTTAGGGTGCCTGAGAAGCCTGCAGTCAGCAGGGAGTCTCAATATGACACCACAGTTACTGCAGGGCCCTGAGCAGCAGGAGGCAAATGGCAGTGTGTCTTGAGACAAAGCAACATGTCTTGCAATTCCCTGAGCAACAGCAGGCAGGAAGTAGTGGGTCCCAAGATGACACCACAAGTCCTGCAGGTTCCTGAGTAGTGGCAGGCATGGGGCAGTGGGTCCTGAGACGACACCGCAGGTCCTGCAGAGTTCCTGAGCAGAGGCAGGTAGGGGACAGTGGGACACAAATGACAGCACAGGTCCTATGAGTTCCTGAGCAGTTGAAGGCAGGAGGTAACGGGTCCCTATATGATACGACAGGCCCTGTGGTTCCTTGAGCAGCGGCAGGCAGGGGGCATTAGGTCCCTAAGTGACAACACAGGTCCTGAGGGTCCCTGAGCAGCGGCAGGCAGGGGACATTAGGTCCCTAAGTGACAACACAGGTCCTGAGGGTCCCTGAGCAGCGGCAGGCAGGGGGCATTGGGTCCCTAATTGACAACACAGGTCCTGAGGGTCCCTGAGCAGCGGCAGGCAGGGCATCTCGAAACAACATCACAATTCCTGCAGGTGAGTGTTCAGCAGCAGGCACGGGGTCCTGAGACAAGTCCACAGGTCCTACAGGTCCCAGAGCAGGGGCAGGCAGGGTGTCCCAGGATGACACCACAGATTTTGCAAGTCCCTGTCCAGCGGCAGGCAGGCGGCAGAGGGTCCTAGGACAACATCACAGGTCATGCAGGTCTCTGAGCAGCTTAAGGCAGGGGGCAGGGGGTACCGAGGCAACACCACAGGTCTTGCAGTTCCTTAGGCAGCCTTTGTGGGCAGAGGGCTCCGAGACAACACCACAAGTATTGCGGGTGCCTGAGCTGCCTGTAGGAGACAGGGAGTTCAGACATGACATCACAGATCCTGCAGGTGGCTGACCAGTGGCAGGCAGCTTATCCCGAGGCAACAGCACAGGTTTTGTGTGTCCCTGAGCAGCGGCCCTCAGGGTGTCCCAAGACGACACCACAGGTCCTGTGCGTCCCCAAGCAGCCTGCAGGTGGCAGTGGGTCCTGAGAGGACATAGGATGTCCTGCAGTTCCTGAGCAGTAGGAGGCAATGGGCAGTGGGTACCCAGCCGACACCACAGGTCCTGCAGTTCCCTGATCAACCTACAGTGGGGAAGGAGTCCCTCGATGACACCACAGGCTTGTGGATACCTGACCACCCTACAGGGGGCATGGAGTCCTGAGATGACACCTCTGGTCCTGTGGGATCAGGAGTAGTGGCCAGGCTGGGGGTGGTGGGACCCAAGATGACAGAATAGGTCCGGGGTCCCTGAGAACCCTGCAAGAGGCATTTCGTCCCTAGAAGACACCAGAGGTCATGGTGGTCCCTGAGCACTCTGCAGGGAGCAGTGGGTCCTGAGATGACAGCACAGGTCCTTCAGGACCCTGAGTAGTGACAGACAGCGTGTCCCAAGAAGACAGCACAGGTACTGGGAGGTTCTGTGCAGCCTACGGGGGCAGGGAGTCCTGAGATGACACCACTGTTCTGCTGGACCCTGATGGGGCAGTGAGAACCGACAGGAAAGCCTAGGTCCTGAGCACTGGCAGACAAGGTGACCCGAGAAGAAGCACAGGTCCTGCTGGTCTCTGAGTAGCCTGCATGGGGGGCAAGGAGTCCCGACATGACACCACAGGTCCTCTGTTTCCCTGAGCAGCCTACAAGGGCCAGTGGTTCCCGAGATGACAGCAAAGTTCCTGTGGGTCCTTGAGCAGCAGCTGGCAGGGTATCCTGAGACAACAGCACAGATCCTGCGGGTCCCTCAGACCGCCGTCAGGGGGTCCCGTGACAATAACAAAGGTTCTGTAGGTCCCTGAGCAGCAGAAGGCAGGGGTCCTGGGACAACACCACAGGTCCTGCAGGTCCCTAATCAGCAGCAGTCTGGAGATCTCGAGAATAAACCTAGGTCCTGCTGGTCCCTGATTGGTGGCAGGCAGGGTCTGGAGGTCCCGAGTTGATGCCGAATGTCATGCAGGACACTGAGCAATGGCAGGTAGCGGCATGGGGTCCCAGGACTAAACCACAGGTCCTGCAGGTCCCTGAGCAGTGGCAGCCAGGGGTCAGGGGGTCCCGCTATGACACCACAGGTCCTGAACCTCTGTGAGCAGGGCCAGGCAGGGGACCATGGGTCCTGAAATGACAGCACAGGTCCTGCGTGTCCCTGATCAGGCAGCAGGTAGAGGCCGTGGGGACAGAGAAGACAGGTCCTGTGTGTCCTTGAACAGCCAAAGGATAGAAATAGAAGTCCCGAGAAGACAACACAGGTCCTTAGGGTCTGTGAACATTGGCAGGCAGGGGCACTGGGTCCTGAGACACCACAGATCCTGTTGGTCCCTGAGCAGCCTGCAGGGGGCAGTGGGTCCCAAGACAACAGCACAAGTACTGTAGGTCCCTGAGCAGTGAGTGGAAGGCAGGATGTCCTGAGAGGACAGAACAGGTCCTGCCATCCCTGAGCAGCCTGCAGGGGGGAGTAGTTCCACAGCCTACATCGCAGGTCCTGAGACTCCCTGAGAAGCCTTCAGGGGGCAGTGGGACCCGAGCAATGGCAGGCAGGGTGTCCCAAAATGACAAGGAAGATCCTGCATGTCCCTGATCAGCAGCAGTCACGGGGACTTGAGATGACACCACAGGTCCTGCTGGTTACAGAGCAGCAGCAGATCACAAGATGACACCACATGTCCTGCAGGTCCCTGAGCAGAGGCAGGCAGAGGGCAGTTGGTCCTGAATCCAAACCATAGGTCCTGCAAGTCCCTGAGCAGTCTGCAAAGGGCAGTGGATTCTCAGATGACATCACAGGACTTACGGGTCCCTGAGCAGCAGCAGGGAGGGCATCCCAAGATGACACCACAGACCCTGCAGCTCCCTGAGCAGAGGCAGGCAGGGTGCAGTGTGTCACGATGCAATAGCACAGGTAATTAGGGTCTCTGAGTAGATGGCAGGCTGAGGAAAGAGGGTCATAAAACGACACCACAGGTCCTTTGGTTCCCTGAGCAGATTGCAGGGGCCAGAAGGCACCGAGACAACACCACAGGACATGTGGATTCCTGGGAAGCCTGCAGGCTTAGTGGGTCATGAGAACATAGCAAAGGTCCTGTGGGTCCCTGAGCAGCCTGCAGGAGGCAGTAGAACCCTAGACAACAGTACAGGTCCTGCAGGTCCCTATCAGCCTACAGGGGGCAAAGAATCCCGAGATGACACCACATGTCCTACAGGCCCCTCAGCAGCAGCAGACAGAGGGCAGAGAGTCCTGAGATGACACCACAGGTCCTGCGGGAATATGAGCTCCGGCAGACAGGGGTCAGTGGGACCCGAGGGGACAGCATAGATCCCGTGTGTCCCTGAGCAGTGGCAGACATGGATTCCCTGACTAAAGCACAGGTCCTGAAGGTCCTGGAGCGTTGGTAGGCATGGTGTCCCGAGATTATAGCTCAGGTACTGCAGGTCACTGAGCAGCCTGCATGGAATAGTGTTTCTGGAGATGACAGCACAGGTACTGCTGATCCCTTAGCAGACTGCAGCGGGCAGTGTCTCACGAGATGCCACCACAGATCCTGAGTGTCCTGCGGGTCCATGAGAAGTGGCAGGCAGAGGGCAGTGTGTCCTGAGAGGACAGCACAGGTCCTGCTGGTACCTAAGAAACATCAGGAGGCGTGAAGTGAGTCCCAAGACAACATCACACGTCCTACAGGTCCCTCAGAGCCTGCAGGCACAGGGCAGTGGGTCCCGAGATGACACCACTGGTCCTGCAGGTCGCTGTCTAGCACCAGGCAGTGTGTTCTGAGACTAAAGCACAGGCACTGAGGATGCCTGAACAGCAGCAGGCAGGGGGCAGTGGGTGCTAAGAGGACAACACAGAACCTGCAGGGACCTCAGCTTCGGCAGGCAGCAGAAGTGAGTCCATATAAGATATCACAGGTCCTCTGTGTACTGCGGATCCCTGAGCAGTGGCAGGCAGGGTGCAGTAGTGTGTCCTGAGGAGACAGCACAGATCCTGCGGGTACCTCAGCTTCAACAGGCAGCAGAAGTGAGTCCCTAGACAATAGCACAGGTCCTGCAGGTAACTTAGTGGCAGGCAGGGTGTCCGGAGATGACACCACAGGTCCTGCAGGTTCCTGAGCAGTGGCAGGCAAGGAGCATTGTGTTCTGAGACTACACCACAGGACCTGTATGTCGCTGAGCAGCAGCAAGCAAGCGCATGGGATCCCGAGAGTTCAAGGACAGCCTGGTCTACAGAGTTACTTCAGGTCAAAGATACAGAGAACCTGTCTCAAAAAGCAAAGAGTTAAAAGTAAAAATAAACAAAATAGAGGTTAAAATAAAATGAACAAAGATGGAAAATACACAGAGAATCTTGATACTGTATGCTATTATGCTCTCTTTGAATTGTGTGAATGCTGAGGAAGGAGCAACAGCTGCTAAAAGATATTTATTTATAAATGCTACTGAAGCATAGATCCAACATAGATATTTTGATGCCTTGACTTTGAAATTTGGATCTAAGGACATGATGCTTTGGAAAGGAGTTTCTTATTTTGTTTTCACAGAGGATGAGATGCTGTTCATTTCTTCTATTCCGATTTGGTATGATGGACCACGCCCTCCTGAAGGGTTGGTGTAAACATCTTCAGAAAATTGCTTTGCTCAACTGCCAACTGAGAAGAAACTAGCACACAGGTTATAATATGAAAGACCTAATTAATTACGCCCCCATTCAGCAGGAAGCAGTTTGGAGAGAAATAACTACGCCCATATTCCCAAATAATGTTTATAAATGTTCTTTTACATTTAAAGGGGGATATGATATAGATATGAATAATTTGCATTAGTATAGATTTTGCTTTTTTGATAGAGATTTAAGGTCAAATTTGTTATATGTATATGCATTTCTGATCTTTATTAAGGTATTGTGATTGTGTAGTTCATTATTAAAATGTAATGTATAATTAGGAAATATAGGTTGTTGATGGATAATCATAAATAATAGTCAAGTTTGTAGTCATGTTAGTTAATATTTTCTAGATGTGCGTAGATATAGATAGGCATTCTTCATATTTTTCAAGGATTATAGAATATGGCATTTTAAATGTTTTAATAACTGAGGACTTTTCATGACAATGAGACACTCTGCTCCTGGCAGCACCAGTGTACTTCAAGAGGAAGATGGGCATAGAAGAGGATCCTTATGGAGTTTGATAGCCATTTGGGCAAGAAACTGCTCTTGCCTGGACTATTGCATAAACTGGAAACAGAGAACCCGCAGAGAGAGGACTACTGAACTTGCCTAAAGGTGAGATGATCTTTCGGGGTTCCTGATTCGTGAAGGAGTCTGCAAGACATTCTGCAGGACACAACAGGTAGTGACTGAACAGACTTTGAATTTTCCTGCTTCATGGAAATGTCTGCTGGACACTATGGGCCTGAAGGCTGAAGATTGATGCCCCAACGGTACAAAAGAACTTTGGGTGACTGTACAGGCAGCGAGATGTCTCTGTCATTTCTAGAGTTTTAAAAGTTGCTTTTTTCTTGTTTGCTTAGGTAGTATTGTATCTTTCTGGAGTCTTCGATGGAGTTAAGAATAGTTAGTTATAGTTTTCCTTAGTTATGATAAAGATTATTGTAACTTTTACTTGATAACTGTTTTGTTATATGTAATTTTGCTATGTTAAAGTTAAAGCCTTCTTTTTTTTTGTTTAAACAGAAAAAGGGGAAGTGATGTGTGAGTGTCATATATCAATCTGTTGATTTCATTGGTTAAGCAATAAAGAAACTGCTTGGCCCTGTGGGTGGAGTAAACAGAACAAAATGCTGGGAGGAAGAGGAAGTGAGGTCAGACTCCACAGCTCTCCTCTCAGGAGCAGACGCCTGAGAGAGACGCCATGCCCCACTCCTGGGCAGACACATGCCATGAAGCTCCGACTCAGGATGGACTAGGCTAGAATCTTCCCGGTAAGACCAGTTCTCACAGATTATTAGAGAAGGGTTGATCGGGATATCAGAATTAGCCTGTAAGTGCTAGAGCTAAAGGGCCAAGCAGTGTTTAAATGAATACAATTTGTGTGTTGTTATTTCGGGGCACAAGCTAGCTGAGCAGGCGGCTGGGGTGTTAGGAACGCAGCCCCACCGCCCCTATTACTTTTACTTAAGTGAGACTCTCAGATGCATATCTTACAAATTATTTCATATCTGCTCTGTAAATCTGCTTGCTTTTTTAAAGATTATTGCTTATTTGACCTCACTATATGTGACAAAAGCAAAATTGTATGATCAAAATGCTGTACGATCAAAATTATAAAGGGATATATAAGAAAACTTGGCAAGAAACACATTAAATGATACTGGGGTAATATTTTTTTCTATATACCTTTCAATTTTGCTAGAACATACCATTACAAATCACAAAAATATTTAAATGTTTGCATTGTGGGGGTTTTATTAGATGATTAAAAACTGCCGTATCTTCACAGCGCAAACTTTCCTGCTTTGGTTGTGAAGGCCAGTGGCCTTGCAGCTGGGAAAGGGGTGATTGTTGCAAAGAACAAAGCGGAGGCCTGCAAAGCTGTACGGGAGATCATGCAGGTAGGTGATGCTTCTGAGGGGTTCGCTCTTCATGTAAACAAGTGTTGTAAGTTTACATAGTGGGGTCCAACTGTCCCAACACACTGGAAAGTCAGTTTTCATTGTACTGTGTGTTGTCCATTTCTAGAAAACGGCTAGTACAGAGCTATGCCAATTCCTGGTTCGTTCTTTTGAAGTAAGTTCTAACATCCTAGTGTCTGCTGCTGAATGGTGGAAAGTCTTTGACCCAGATGACTCCCCACACATCCATGACAAGAGAGCATTTGTCCTATGTGTCCCAAGTCTTAACAAAAGTAGCACAGTGCATGAATACAATGTCTCTTTCATAATCCATGTCAATGATTATGACTTAACCTCTTAGAAAAATCTATTTTCACATACATGGTTTGTATAATTTTTGTAAACCAAACCATACATGGTTGTAACCAGGAATAAAGAGTAAATAGTGATTATGAAAGTTTCGGGAATGTGAGTTCTACCTGCTAGCTAGCACATCAAAGACCAGAACAATTCATACATTAAGTCTTCAGAAAGAAGTTACAGTGCTCGTGTACTTCCTGTCTCAAATAGAGCAGTTCTGTACAAGTAATCGGGTACATGTCAAAAGCTTTAAGATTTATAAAGCCTTTTGTTTCAACTACAATTAGGAAAAGTCTTTTGGAGCAGCTGGAGAAACGGTTGTTGTGGAAGAGTTCCTGGATGGGGAAGAAGTGTCTGTACGTACAGCCCTCTCCTTGCCTTTAACACGCCCCAAAACAGACTCCATTTACTCTGTTAGCATCATCTGAGAACAGGAGCGGTTTTAAAAGAGAATTTGTACTCGCTTAGGATTCAAATGAGGAAATGTGTTCTATGTTACTCATCCCCTAGACTAATGGTTCTCAACCTTCCACATGCTGTGACCCTTTAATACAGTTCCTCATGTTATGGTGACCCCAACCATAAAGTTATTTTCATTACTACTTCATAACTGTAATTTTGCTTCTTTTATGAGTCATAATGTAAATATTTGTGTTTTCCAGTGGTCTTAGGAGACCCTGTAAAAGGGTCTTTCACTCCCCCATCTCATCATCCCTGGGGTCACTTGCTGAGAACCACTGCCCTAGACATTAGTGAGAATTCTTGGACTTACACTGTGGAGATTCTGTACACTCATGTTTCACATACAGCTTATTACACAGTAAGTGCTGAGATAGCATTGCCTAGTATACAGTGTGAGTACCTGGCAGTCTTAGCAGTAGAACGGTTGGTCTTTGTCCAGGGTAGAAACCTGGTTTCTCCCTAGGTTGCTATAAATGACAGCTCCTTTACCAGCTGAATATCCAAGATCTTCTGGTTCCTGCCATGTGAATGAAGAATTACTATTCGAGTTTTCTTCAGAAATGAGAGCTTTTCCTGAGTCCTTTTTGACTTTTTACATTTACCCTGAGTGAACTAATCTGTTTTCTCCACAGTGTCTGTGTTTCACTGATGGGAAGACAGTGGCCCCAATGCCTCCAGCACAGGACCATAAGCGATTGCTGGATGGAGATGAGGGCCCCAACACAGGGGGAATGGGAGCCTACTGCCCTACACCTCAGGTACGGTATGCCGTCACTAATGGGCAGTCTGGATGGTCCAAGTAAGAAGTCACCTCTTCGGGTCTCTAATAAGCACTTCTGAAAGCCTTTGAGGACTAACAGCCAGTCTAGGAAATAGGAACTACCATGACGTCTGGATGTATCCTCTCCCAGCTTGTGTGCCCCTGTATTTAATCCCTGAGACCTAGAATTATTCTCTTCCTCTCTGGGTCCAGGGCCCAGCACATAAAACAGATACGTATGTGTAACAAATTGGTATCTAGGACAAGCCATAATTGCAGTTTCTGTGCATGAAACTGACAGGCGCTGTTCCAAACTCTGGGTGGTTTTGTGTGGCCAGATGCAGTGCTGCATTCCTCTAATCCCAGTGCTTGGGAGGCAGAGGCAGGAGGATCTAAGAAAAAAAAATCTCCATCATTGAAGTAGAGTGGATTAGCTCTCTAGAAATCATTTTTATTTTTTATAAGTTTCATTAACAGTGATTTTTTAGATAGCTGTAAGCTTAATTTCCACAATAAACTTACAAGCTTCTATGTGTGAATATGTAGGCTTAAAAGTTTGCTTGGAATATAATATACTAGAAGGATGTAGTAAGGAGCATGAGCATAGAATATACTGGAAGGCTTCACTAAGGAGCACGAGGAGAGGAGAGAGGTCCTTATTTCAGCATTATAGCTGAGGTACTTGGGAGGTACATGTTTGTAAGCCCTGCTGAGGTGAAACACTGACTGCCACTGATTTACTGACAGGAAGTGAGCAGGCCTGTACTTGACATCATTTGCCGGGCTCAGAGCGTTATTATTTTGATGTGTTTGGTGAAGAATTAAGGAGAAATGAAAGTAGTCAGGCACAAACATTTGCAATAGATGTGTTCTTGGATCTGAAATATCTTATCTCCTAGAGTTCTTTCCTGTTCTGTAAAGATAAGGGGCATTGTGATGATGTTTGTTTTATTTTGTTTTGAGACAGGGTCTCTTCTATGGCCTTGGCCGTGGAATTCTCTCTGTGAACCAGGCTGGTCTCAAACTCACAATCTACCTGCCTTTGCCTCCCAGGTGTTGGGATTAATGGTGTATACCTCCACATTCAGCCTAATGTGATTTTTGTTAATTACATTTAAGTATTTCTGTGTGTTCCCCAGGTTCCTAAGGATTTGTTACTAAAAATTAAAGACACTATTCTTCAGAGAACAGTAGACGGCATGCAGCAGGAGGGTGTGCCTTACACAGGTAAGCTGGCTGGCTTAAATCATTACATAGTAATGTTCTACTGTAGCTGGAACTTGTTCTCTTTTTCTACAGCTGTAATCGTATTAAAACGTTTAGTATTAGGAGGTTGTAGTCTAGGACTTGGGATATAGCTTGGTTGGTAGAATGCTTACCTAGCATACCTGAAGCCTTGGATTCTATCCATCTCAAGGACCATACACTTGGGTGTGGTGGGGCACACTTGTAATTCCAGCAGCTGGGATATGGAGGCAGGAGGATCAGAAGTTCAGGACCATCCTCAACTACAAAATTGGTTCAAGTTCAACCTGAGATACATGAGGCTTTGTTCATCATCTAGGTTTTATAGTTATAATCCACTGTTGTCACTACGTCATTACAGATTCCTCTCTCTCTCTCTCTCTCTCTCTCTCTCTCTCTCTCTCTCTCTCTCTCTCTCTCTCTCTCTCTCTCTCTCTCAATGAAGGAATTCTCTATGCTGGTATAATGCTGACCAAAGATGGCCCAAAAGTTTTGGAGTTTAATTGCCGTTTTGGTGATCCAGAATGCCAAGTAGGTAACAGTGAATAGAATATTGCCTGGTATGATGCATGTCTTTAATCCCAGTCCTTAGGAGGCAGAGGCAGACAGATCTCTGAGTTCAAGGATGACCTGGGCTACAGAGAGAGACTGTCTCGGATAGTAATAATAGTAGTAATAGTCATAAGTTACTAGTTTTTAGAAGAAAAGCATTGTTTTGTTCCCACAATTTATTAGTCTTGAAATAACTGCTTTTGCTAAACAGTTGGTATAACAATGAATAAAATATTAAAGTTCATCTCTTCTACCAAATTGATTCTGTTCTTCCAGGTAATCCTCCCACTTCTTAAAAGTGACCTTTATGAAGTGATTCAGTCCACCTTAGATGGCCAGCTGAGTGCGTCTCTGCCTGTTTGGCTAGAAAACCACACTGCCATAACCGTTGTCATGGCAAGTAAAGGGTATCCTGGAGCCTACAGCAAGGGTGTGGAGATAACAGGTGAATAGCAGTGATTAAGAGGTTGGGTTACAATGGAACAGGTGCCTGTACCTGTTGAGGGTCTGAAGCCATCAGACTCTTGAGAGACTTAGTGTATCTAAAGAGCTGCCATTGATGTCCTTTCCTGCACCAGGAAACATGAGTAACCTCGTCAGGTTTCCAGAATAATCCCTTTGCAGCCTTGCACTTCCACCTTCCCAGAGCCTGGATGGTAGTGGATGAGAGTCAGCACGGTTAGCAGTGGTCAGATTTTAAGCGCACAGCTCTACTTGATGCAGTTTGGCTCGTTAGTGAGCAGCATGCCAGATTGTGGTTTCTGCTGCAGAATTCAAGGTTGAAAGGTTACTGGGGTTTTTTGGGTGTTGTTGGGGGGGGTTGTGGGTTTTCAAGACAGGGTTTCTCTGTTACAGCCCTAGCTGTTCTGCAACTCGCTCTGTAGACCAGGCTGGCCTCAAACACAGAGATCCTCTTGTCTCTGCCTCCACCGCCCATAAGGTATCTGCTTAGATGGCAGTAAGTCTGTTTATAAATGAAGATGAAGTGCCACCTCAGTGGCACTCAGACAAAGGCCTCCGTGGTGCCCCAGCACACTGTAGTGCGGCCTTTACTAGTGATCCATAGTGTTTGCTTCAAGAACTTTATTCTCCTGCCCAGAAAAGATAAGAATCTCAGTCATCTCTGTCAAGAATTGTTTGCTTTTGGGGGGCTGGAGAGATGGCTCAGAGGTTAAGAGCATTGCCTGCTCTTCCAAAGGTCCTGAGTTCAATTCCCAGCAACCACATGGTGGCTCACAACCATCTGTAATGGGGCCTGGTGCCCTCTTCTGGTCTGCTAGCATACACACAAACAGAATATTGTATTCATAATAAATAAATAAATAAATAAATATTTTTTTAAAAGAAATTGTTTGCTTTTGAAAAGGAATGGAAAAATGAGATTGAACCAAGAGCCTCTGTAGTGCTGAAATTTCCCCTAGGAAGTAATAGTGATTCCAGTAGAGCAGTATTGGACATGCCCAGTGGGCATCAAGTTATGTGTTGGGTGGCGCTGTTGTCAGACCCCTCAGGGAACCTGGATGACACTTTACCACACCAGGGCTGTGAGGAGAAGGGGATAGGAGACTGTGGTGTGGCGGGCAGCTAGGCTATCTCGCATGTTACAGAGTCTAGGGCTCTTTTAAACCTCTTATGAAGAAAAAGGAACTCTACCAACTCCCCTCCCTCACTGAACCTATCTATGGCTTTTCTCTTTTTCTCACTCCCCAGAAATGGGAATTTTTAAAATAGGACCACAGCCCAGGATGAAGTGTTTCAATCTTTGTTGCAGGGCATGATGATTTATGCCTTTAATCCTGGGACTTGAAGGCAGAGCAGGGGCAGGTGGATCACTGAGTTTGAGGCTAGCCTGGTCTACATAGTGAAGACTGTCTCAGAAAAACAACACCCAGTTTGTTAACTGTGCTTGTTTGCAGGGTTTCCTGAGGCCCAAGCTTTAGGACTCCAGGTATTCCATGCGGGCACTGCTCTTAAAGATGGCAGAGTGGTGACCAGCGGGGGAAGAGTCCTCACAGTAACGGCCGTCCAGGAGAATCTTGAGTCAGCCCGTGACGAAGCCAGGAAAGGCCTTGCTGCCATAAAGTTTGAGGGCGCAGTTTATAGGAAGGACATTGGCTTCCGTGCTGTAGCCTTCCTCCAGCGGCCCAGGTAAATAAGGGGCAGGGTTCAGAACTGGCCTCGTGGCTGGAGATATTCTCCTAAGCCCATGCTGTCATTTGGTGTTCTGTCCGTGGAGCTGACTGCAGCTTGTTTGTATTTTGTGTGAATCTTAATTATTTATAGGCTGAGACAAGGAGGGCTCAAATTTGAGAGCAGTCTATACTAAGGCTTTTCATGTCTGCCCCACCCCAACCCCCCCAAAAAACTGATCAAAGCAATATTTGAATAAATGGGAAACTCTTCTTGGCAATTCCTTATCTTTGAAAATTTGTCAAGATTATAAGGACGAAGACTGTTAATCCTTGAGTCATTATGTAGTTAAACATTCTTGAGCTTGAGTCACAGTTCCTGGTTTGTCCCCTTTATCTATTACTTGAATGTATTTTTAATTACTGATTCATTTATTAACAAATATTTCCTTATAAAATAAATAAACTTGGTTGCCACATGAGTGTTTTGATTTTTTAAAAACAATTACATAATATCACATTGTTTTTATTTAGTTCTTCAGTGGGTGTGTGTATGGTATGAGTGTTTTGCCTACACGTATGTGCACCACATGCGCTTGGTACCCTCAGAGATCATGGACCTGGGCTTAGGGATGGTTGTGAGCTACCATGTGGATCCTGGGAACCAAGCCCTCATCTGGAAGAGCCACAAACATTCCTAACCACTGAGCCATTTCAAAAAAATAATTTTTAGCAGCTTAAGCTAAATCATGAGTTAAAGGCAGGTTTTTAACCCTTCTGTACATATATTACACTAAATACTGTGCCAGCTCATGGAAGTTCTCTACCTTCAGAGACTGAAATGTGGTTTGGTTTTGATTTGGTTTTGTCTTTTTAAACCAAGTCTCACTATGACACCCTGCCTAGCCTAGAATTGACAGAGATCCAATGGCCTGTGCCACTATGCCTAACAAGGAACTTAAATCTTGGTTGGTTGGTTTGGTTTTTTTAAGGCAGGGTTTCACTGTGTATCTACTGACTGTCCTGGAACCAGCTCTATAAACCAGACTGGCTTTGAACTCCAGAAATCCAGAAATCTGCCTGCCTCTGCCTCCTGAGTGCTGGGATTAAAGGCGTGCGCCACCACTTAAATCTTAACTGTAGTCTGAGTTCTTCAAGGTAAAGAGAATGAGATGTCACGATGCTAGTCGTTAACCTGCAGGGCATTGTGTCCTGTGTCCCTGAACTGCAGGCGCTGAGCTGCTTATCAGTCCTCTCAAGTGCTCTAGCAGCTCAGCTTCACTGCAGAGAGACTAGTAAGTTCACAGTGCCATTCACAAACTTGATTCCCATGAGACACAGTTTTGTGCTTTCATAAAGCAATATTCATCATGTTTGTGCTTTTATAAAGCAATATTCTTCATGTTTCTGTGGCCCTCAGCAATGAGAAAACTGATAGCTGATACCCTGGTACAGTAAGAACACTTTTTTTAGGGATATTTTTACAAAATTTTAACAATCCTAATTATTCCTTTTTTCTTTATTTGGTTTGACATTTCATTCCTACTCAAACTGAAGTTAGCCTGAGAATGGATGTGGTTTAAAAAAAACTTTAAAAGTAGAAGGGGCCAGACAAGGTTCTTGTCTATAATGTCAGCACTGGTGAGGCTGAAGCTGCCATATTGGAAGTTTGAGGCCTTTTGGGCTACATAGAGACAGTGGGATGATGGAGGTTTTCATGTAAGGGCCAGAAAAGGAGAGGTCCCGTGTAATGAACACAGAAATTCCCGTTTTACCTGGTGAGCACAAGGGGTGTTAATGATGGCAGTGCTAAATTGTGCCATTCAGTTAAACACTACACTTAAAGATGGCTGCGATGGTGAATTGAGTGCATATTTTACGCAGCTGAGAAAAAGTGCACAGCAGGTGTGGCTGTGCGCATCTGTCACCTGCGCCTCCTTAAAACACTGCCATCTGAGTGTGCGGGTGGGTGCAGGCTCTGATTTAGAACATTCTGAGCAGGTTACTAGATATGAAAATCAGATGAAATGCCTTCTGCTATTTTTTTCTCTAGGAACTTGTGTATGTGTGAGTGTGCGTGTGTGTTCCCACATGTGGTCATATGCAGGCATGTACCTACATGTGCTGGCCTGATGATACTGAAGAGCATCTTGACTCTTCCACCTTATCCAGACAGAGGTCAAACCCAGCTCCCTGGTCTGGCTAGACTCTAACTGGCTTGTTTGGGGGTTCCCTATATCCACTTTCCCAGGCCACAATTACAAGCAGGCAGCCATAGCCATCCAGCATTTCTATGGCAAGTGCTGAGCCATTTCCCTCGCCTGTTCGTGTGTTTTTTGTTTGTTTTGTTTTGTTGGAGATAATATTTTTCCTTCCTGGGTGTGGTGGTGCATGCCTTGAATCCCAGCAGAGGCAGGGGCAAGCATATTTGTGAGATACAGGACAGCCTGAACACATAGAGTAATAATTTTCCTGGCATTGAGGAAATTAGTTTTCATTTCATTTCCTTAGGGGCCTGACTTACAAGGAATCTGGGGTAGACATTGCAGCTGGAAATATGCTGGTTAAGAAAATTCAGCCTTTAGCAAAAGCCACCTCCAGACCAGGTAATTAGACCCTGTACTCTGTGAATAGAATAGCAGTATTGGGAATTAATTTGGGCCTTACATTTAGCTGAGGGACGTCTTTCAAATTACTGTTGGGCGTCCTCTAAGTCGTTAAGGCTTGGTCGGGTCTGTGGGCACGTGGGCTCTTCTGCTCTCAGCACTAACATTATGTAGTTCATATCCTAGCCATTGTCAGGAGAACAGCTGGGATAGTCACATTGAACTCATCAGTTAAAATCAGCAAGTAACTCATTTCTTGTCCAACAGGCTGTACTGTTGACCTTGGAGGCTTTGCTGGTCTTTTTGATTTGAAAGCAGCTGGTTTCAAAGATCCTCTCCTGGCGTCTGGAACAGATGGTGTTGGGACTAAACTGAAGGTAATCGGACACTTGTGATTACAGGCTTTGTGAAGGAGAACGGGGAATTTGCCTGCCAAATGGTTTCTCTGTTTATCAAATAGCCATTTCTTCCTAACAACATACATGTGCTCCAAAGAGCCGTGGCAACCATTTGTTCTAACCGTATAGCTCAGGTGCACATTTTAAACAATAGTGTTCGAGTTCCAGTGGTTGGAAGAAGGGAAAGGGGCTCTGTATAACTTGTCTTTGGCCTGAGGTGTTCTGTCAGCTGTTTATATCCTGCAGATTGCCCAGCTGTGCAATAAGCATGGCACCATCGGTCAGGATCTGGTCGCAATGTGTGTAAACGACATCCTCGCACAGGGAGCTGAGCCCCTCTTCTTCCTCGATTACTTTTCCTGTGGAAAACTCGACCTCACTACAACTGAAGCTGTTATCGCTGGAATTGCTGGAGCCTGTAGACAAGCTGGCTGTGCTCTCCTAGGTATGAACTCTTTGACCCATGGGCCCTCTACTGCCGGTTGGTCATGTAGAACTAAAATGTGATTTCTGCTGTGGCTAGTGAGGGAGACTTTACATGAACAGACAGGAAAACAAGATGTAGATAAAACTACCTGCGTTCATCTCAGACTCTGTTCCCATCTCATACTTCTGAACTGCCAGGCTGGCTTACCTTTCTCCTCTGTCCATCTCCCTGTTCCTCAGGAGCCTCACTGGGTGGGCTTAGAGCTTTTTTCTCTTAAGTGGGCCTAAAACAGGGGAGACGTGCACCTGGAATTGCGCATGTCCGACTGTGGTTTCCTCAGAAGTGACATAAAGAATCAAATGTAACCTGGCTTTTATAACCATCCATATATGCAGATGGGGGTTAACTATTCCTTCTAGTGCAGGTCAAGGTTGCACAATCCTACGATGCCCACGATGCCTACAATCTAGCACTTGGCAGCTGAAGCAAGATTACCGAGAGTTTGAACCAGCCTGGGCTACATAGCAAGACTCTTGTCTCAGTGGAAGAACATGTACAGCTGTATCTGTAGACAAATCAGATCCCAAGGCCAAAAGTTGCCTTTCACCTGTTGGTTGGTTTTATTTTTTGAGACAGGATTTCTCTGTATAACAGCCCTGGCTGTCCTAGACCTCAATTTTATAGACCAGGCTGGCTTCGAGCTTATAGTGCTGGAATTAAAGACATGCCCCACTATCCCTGACCACATTACAGTTTGTAGGTTGGAGTCTGATGCCTGCCTGTGTTGTGTTTTCACGTGATGTGGGTGTAGCACTGTGCTGGTAAGGTGGTGTGCAACCACTTGGAGTGGGCGGTGCTGTGCTGTTGTTATCACTAAGCTGGAGTGAGACTAAGGAGCTGGAGACAGGAAGTTAAGAGCATTTGCTGCTCTTCCAGAGAATGTGGGTTTCGTTCTGAGAGCCCATGTGGCAGCTCACTGTAACTCCAGTTCCAGGGGATCCAGTGTCCTCTACTGTCCTCTCTGGGTACCATATATATACATGATACATGCAAGCAAAACATTCATGCACATAAAATATCAAATCATTTTGCCGGGCGGTGGTGGCGCATGCCTTTAATCCCAGCACTCTGGAGGCAGAGGCAGGCGGATCTCTGTGAGTTCGAGACCAGCCTGGTCTAGAAGAGCTAGTTCCAGGACAGGCTCCAAAACCACAGAGAAACCCTGTCTCGAAAAACCAAAAAAAAAAAATCATTTTGAAAGCACTTATGAAATCACACTGTTGTAGACATGCTGTTAAGTCCCACTGAGCCTTGGCATACCAGAGTCGATGTCTGAAGACCATGACACCTACAGAGGTGTCCCTCATCACTACACCATTAGTACTGTCCCGAGATGTCAGCCAGCACATCGAGTACGGGATAGAGCTACACATAGGTTGTACTGGTTGTTGATGGTACGTGTAGCTTCTGTCACTGTTTAACCTGATTCGTGAGGATCACAGGATGTCTTTGTCCTTGTCTCACCAGGTGGAGAGACCGCAGAGATGCCCGACATGTACCCTCCTGGCGAGTATGACCTCGCTGGGTTTGCTGTTGGCGCTATGGAGAGGGATCAGAAACTCCCTCAGCTAGAAAGGATTGTCGAAGGGGATGTTGTGGTTGGGGTAGCCTCATCTGGTCTTCACAGCAATGGCTTTAGCCTTGTGAGGAAGATTGTGGCGAGGTCTTCTCTCCAGCACTCCTCTCCAGCGCCTGATGGATGTGGCGACCAGACTTTAGGTAAACTGACTCTTGCTGTCCTGCCTGGAAATGTCTGAGCAACTACCGCAGGGGAAATCGATTACCTGCAATGGACGGATGCAAGGTCACAGTCTTCGTCCATTTCAGAATTGTTTTTATGTTTGGGTTTCAAATGTATGGGCTAAGTTTTTGTCTTTTCTCTCCAATCCCCAGGGGACTTGCTTCTAACTCCAACCAGGATCTACAGCCATTCGCTGTTGCCTGTCAAAGCCTTGGCTCACATTACTGGAGGTGGATTGCTGGAAAACATCCCCAGAGTCCTTCCTCGGGAGCTCGGAGTAGATTTAGGTAAGCTAACCAAAGGAAATTTCTGATTTAAAAAAGAAAAAAAAATGGTGATGGGAAAAAACATGTACTGTGGGTAGTGAATGCACATGTGATTCTGCATGGGAATACTGCGTTGTTTTGGTTTTGAGACAACTATTGGTTTCTCTGTTTAGCGCTGCCTGTCCTGAAACTAACTCTGTAGACCAGGCTGGCCTTGAACTCACAGGTATCTGCCTCCCTTGGCTAGGATTACAGGCGTGCACCACCACTGTCCAGTGCAGCCTGCCTTCTCTCTTCACCCAGGACCACCTTACCACTTCAGTGGCACCGCAGGCACTCGGTGATCTGGCCCTCCCACCAGCTTGCTGATAAGCAAGTCTTATGGAGGCAGCGATCACTCTAGCTGGTGTCGTTGATAACAGTAATCTGACAAGCCACATTCTCTTTCTTTATAGACATTCTAAATAATTCGGTATAGTTTTTGTAAATCAAATCTTATAACCTGTACATTCAAAAAATTGTCCATGTTACTTTTTATTATTGAGGAATTCTGTGGCAGTGTTTGTAAATAAGCCTTTACCTGATGCTAGTGTAAGAGTTGTGGTGTGTTGCTTGTGGCAAAGGAGGAGCTAAGTCAGCTTAGAACCTATATTTTATTTTATTTTATTTTTTTAATTTTTTTTTTTTTGGTTTTTCGAGACAGGGTTTCTCTGTAGCTTTGGAGCCTGTCCTGGCACTAGCTCTTGTAGACCAGGCTGGCCTTGAACTCACAGAGATCCGTCTGCCTCTGCCTCCCAAGTGCTGGGATTAAAGGCGTGCGCCACTACCACCTGGCCTTACTGGCTTTTAGGTTTAGCCACTGGCACAGCATCAGATGTATTATGACTCGTCTGCCCTGCAGCCAGGATGCAGCTGCTTCTGGAACTCTTTGATCTCTTTCGGCAGTGTCCACCCACTGATGCTTGCACACCCTGAACAGTTGTGTGTGTTGGTCAGAACCCTGTCAGAAGTACGAGCATTTGACACAGTGACAGAGATCCACTCAGATAGCTAACAATGATGGTCGGTGCTTGTTGACCTTGCTTTTGCCTTTCTACTCTCTGCTGTGTGGGTTTCATTTTCAAGCAGGTTTCCCAGTGCTGAACACTAACCCCTTAGGTTCACACTGCAGTAAGAAGCTTTCTCCAAACAGCAAGCGTCTTAAGTCTTGCAAAGCCTCCTGGGTCGCACGTCTCCCAGGAAGCCAGGGGGTCTTAGCGGCAGGTAAATGGGCTCGTTAGTGGGTTGGGTTGGGGAGAACACAGAGAGGAAGCATTTTCTATGGCCGTGCTTCAGTGCACTGGTGTGTTCTCCAGCTCCTAGCTGAAACAGTCATCCGTGTGGCCACCTCCGGTATGTTCTTAAAAGTGAGAAATGGTAAATGTTATTAGCCTGGTATTTTAGTTCCTGTATGTCTTACTTTCAGAATAAAATACAATAAAGTTTTCTTAAGATATTTTTCTTTTTTCTTTAAAGATTTATGTATTTATTATGTATACAACATTCTTCCCATGTATGCTTGCTGGCCAGAAGAGGGCACCAGGTCTCATTATAGATGGCTGTGAGCCACCATGTGGTTGCTGGGAATTGAACTCAGGACCTCTGGAAGAGCAGTCAGTGCTCTTAACCTCTGAGCCATCTCTCCAGCCTGATATTTTTCTATTATTGCTATTAATTCATCATTTTTTTACCTTTTTATGCATATAATTGAAATGAAGATTTCCCTCGTGTCAGAGTCAAGAATTTGATTGAAACCATGCAAGTAAATGGGTCAATGGTGTCAAATGGCTTCCTGAGAAGTAAGAAGGCCAGAGTGGCTGTCTTAATATCTGGAACAGGTAAAGTATGACTTCTCCGAACATAGAACTTAGAGCGCTCCCCACAACCTCCAGTCACACAGACAAGGGGAAGAGCACCTCACATAGTAAGGACACAGAAAGGGCAAACTGGTGGCTAGCCTGGCCTCCTAGCACTTGGGAGGCAGAGGCAAGGAGATTCCTGAATTTAATTCCAACCTCTACATAGTGAGTTCCAGGCCAGCCAGGGCTACACAGTGAGACCCTGCCTCAAAAAGAGAGAGAGAGAGAGAGAGAGAGAGAGAGAGAGAGAGAGAGAGAGAGAGAGAGAGAGAGAAAAGAAAAACATAACATGTTAGAAAGGTGGTTCAACAGTTGAGGGTGCTTGCTGCTCTTGCAGCGGACCTGGGTTCTAGTCCCTGCAACTACATAGTTACAGCATCTCTAGCTCTGACTCTTGGGCATCTGACACCCTCTTCTGAGCTGGGTACCAGGCACACACTTGGTGTACTTACATAATAAGCAGACAAAACACTCATACACAATTTTTATTTTTATTTTTTTTATTGAGAAAAGGAAAAAAAAACAAGTTTCCGCCTCCTCCCAGCCTCCCATTTCCCTCCCCCTCCTCCCACCCTTCTCCCCCTCTCCCTACTCCTCTCCCCTTCCCTCTCCAGTCCAAAGAGCAGTCAGGGTTCCCGGCCCTGTAGAAAGTCCAAGGTCCTCCCCCCTCCGTCCATATCTAGGAAGGTGAACATCCAAACTGGCTAGGCTCCCACAAAGCCAGTACATGAAGTAGGATCAAAACCCCGTGCCATTGTCCTTGGCTTCTCATCAGCCCTCATTGTTCGCCATGTTCAGAGAGTCCGGTTTTATCCCATGCTTTTTCAGTCACAGTCCAGCTGGCCTTGGCGAGCGGTCATTTTCACACGTTGTAATAAATTGTATCTCATCCATATCCCCAAGCAAAAGCATCAGACGGACAAGAGAAGCCCATTAATGGAGCGACTTTGAAACAATCTAAAGCCACAGCCTTTTAATGGGAGGGGAACAGTCAAAAGCCATGGAAGTACTCCCTCTTGTTTTCTGATGGCTTCCACTCCGAGACACTCCAAAGCACCAATTCCCAAGCAGCAGTGCCAGCAAGCTCTGGGTGATTACAGTGTGATCGATATTCGAATTCCCAGTAACCACCAATAGGTGGCACCCGTGCTCCATCCATTTACTAAGCAGTATCGCTGGCTCCCAAATCAGCAAATCCTCAAAGAAAAGCTGGAGGCAACCAGAAACTTACCAGAGGGAGATGCCCCTGTAGGGGTCAGTTTAAAACCATCACCTTCGATCTCGTAGCTTCAGAGAACCTAGATCAGGGTTTCTCAATCTGTGGGTCTTATCTTAGAGGTCAAATGACGCTTGCCTGGGTTGCCCAGCATGGAAAAGATGAAATCCTTGGCAGTGTGGATCTCCAGCGCTCTCTGGTCGTCGTATTCCCGCTGGTCGTGCCTGGTGAATTCCTGGATGAGTTTGTTCAGTTCCTCCACCCGAGCTCCAGACCTGAAATCCAGCTCCGGGAAGGCAGGCTTGTTGTTGCAGCCCAAGGAGGCTGCCTTGCTGGCTGTGGGAGCCGCCATCTTCATGCAAAACGCGCCGCTCGGCGGTGGCCGCGGCACCCACCCCCGCCCCCCACCCCGCCCCGGCCTCCACACAATTTTTTTTTAATCTTAAAATGAGCCAAGCAGTGGTGGCGCACACCTTTAATCCCAGCGCTCAGGAGGCAGAGGCAGACGGATCTCTGTGAGTTCAAAGCCAGCCTGGTCTACAGAGTGAGTTCCAGGATGGCTAGGGCTGTTGTTGCACAGAGAAACCCTGAAGAAAGCAGGGGAAAATGGAAGAAGGAAGAGCCCCCCTGTTGTGTACCATATCTTGATGAGTGAGAAAACTTAAAAGTTAAAATAGTAATTACGGTGTTCACCTTGTGTATGTTCTTAAAGGTGAGAAGTAGTAAATATTTTTAACCTGGTAGTTTAGTTCCTGTCTGTCTTTCAGAATAAAATGCAGTATTCTAAAGTTGTTTTTATCTAAAGTAAGAGCCCTGGGTCTGAGAGCATTGTACTCTATCAGATGGCTGTAGCGTAACTCTGTTGTTTGCTTTTGGAACTCATCCTGTAGCCCAGCTGGCCTGGCCTCAGCCCTTCTAGTGCAGTGTTTAGAGTAGTGACCCCTCCCCCGCTCATGAACGCACAGATAAACTGTGCTTGTTGAAGGCCCCTGAGTGTTTCTTTAGATCCTAGTCCAGTGCCATGGCTGCTTTGCAGGATCCTCTTTGAGTTGACTGTAATTTAGGTTCACGTTTATGATAAAGTGAAGTGGCCCTTCTGAGGAGTGAGGGCATTGTTAGGGGCCGAGCTTCCAGGCATGTGCTCACTCTTTCCTGGTTTTCAGGGTCCAACCTCCAGGCTCTCATAGACAGCACTCGGGATCCAAAGAGCTCCTCACACATTGTTGTTGTCATCTCCAACAAAGCTGGGGTCGCTGGCTTAGACAAAGCAGAAAAGGCTGGCATTCCCACCAGAGTGAGTCACCACAGAGAACTGGCTGCATCTGGCTGTTGGGTGGTTTGCGGTGTGGTGTGGGTTGTTCCACCTAGAGCCACAGCAGCAGCCACTGCACACTCGGCCGAAATGCATACTCTGCTTCCACAGTGTGTGTGGTTGTGTAATCCTGGAACTTCCCGTTTGGGGTGGGTGCTGGGTTTGCTCTTCTCCATCCTGCCTGTTCCTCAGCCAGCCCTCCCGTGGCTCCATCTTCACCACTGACTTGTAGTCTCTGTAAAGGTTGTATTTAAACTTGGTAATTCACTGAAAAAATTTACTTCTCTTTTCCTGTTACAGGTGATTAATCATAAATTATATAAGAACCGTGTTGAATTTGACAATGCTGTTGACCTCGTCCTAGAAGAGTTCTCTGTAGACGTGGTCTGTCTTGCCGGGTTCATGAGGATTCTCTCTGGCCCTTTTGTCAGGAAATGGGATGGTAAGCAAGAGTCATGGACAGTAAATGGACTCCGGAGTAATCAGCTTTCTAAGACTGCCCTCATAATGAAATTTTAACGTGGGCTTATTAGCTCCCTCTGCTTTGATTGAGAGATGCCCAGTTCACTCAGCTGTTTGCTGCTGTCACTAATCACTCCCGATACTGCAGAGACCACTTCACTGTGAGAGGAGTATTGGGAAGACAAGAGAAAATGATGCTCAGTCCACCCCTGCAACCTGAGTGTCCTGAGACTGAGGTGGGAGGACTGCAAGTTCAAGGCCAGCCTGGTCCTATAGGACACAATTCTCAAAAGCAAAGTGAAGGAAGAGGAGAGAAAGGAGAAAAAAAAACCAACTGTGTATCCCAGATGAAGAAAGCTGGGCAGAGATCATCCTTGATGTAATGCATTTAAGGCCAGATTGGAATATATAATGAGATCCTGTCCCTAAAAACCAAGAGCTAGTGGTGGGTGTAGAAATTCTCAGTGGTTGAGAGCAGTTGCTACTCTTCGAGAACTTGGATACCGTTCCCAGCCCCGTGACAAGCTCACAGCCATCTGTACCACCATTTCCAGGGGACCCAACACCCTCTTCAGGCACCATTCATGATGTGCAGATGTAATTGCAAACGAAACACAAACCAGTAGCTGGGAGTTTGGTTCCCTGGTAAAGCACTGGCATGTACAGGGCCCTGGTTTCAGACCTTGTACCACAGAGGATGATAAAGGTTCATGCTCTCCTATATAACACACGGACAGAAGGGAGCAAGGAAGGCGTTGTCTACCATCTGTTGTACCTTTTTTGGTTTACTATTGTGCATGGGGTGGTAGGGCTATCTCATGCTTGTGGTAGTTGGAGGACAGTGTGTAGGACTCCGTAGGTCCTGGGGATTGAGCTCAGGTCATCAAGCCTGGTGGCAGGCACTTTCCCCCTTCTTCCTTTAAAGCTCTGACCACATCCTATTGTCATTCTTCTGTACATGTTTGGGCATCTCCCCCAGTTGGTTCTCTAAGCACTTGTTCCTTTAACTTTAGAATAAACAAGATCTAAAATTTCTGGCCACTGTTTTTTGCTTTCTAGGTAAAATGCTCAACATCCACCCATCCTTGCTCCCTTCTTTCAAGGGTTCAAATGCTCATGAGCAAGTCCTGAAAGCTGGAGTCACAGTTACCGGGTGCACCGTACACTTTGTGGCCGTGAGTATGCCTTTTTAGTTTTCCAGAATTATAAATACTACTATAATTTTCCAGAATTTTCCTTTCTGGAAAAGCAGAACCCTGCTTCTGGCATCAGTTTTGCCAACTGGCTGTCTCAGCAGTGCCCTTGGGGCTGTCTGAAGACCATCGTGAGAACAGACATCATCTGCCGGGGACCTGCATTCACAACCTCAGTTTTTTACTCACCGGACAGGATCCGACCTCGGATGGAGACGTTGCCAGTGAACGGGCATTTCTTGTCAATGTAAGTGCTCTCGATGGCCTGAAAGGATGAGAAAGTGCAGCTTGAACTACCAAACTACAATTCCCACGAGCCCCGGAGGCAGCCACTCCGAAAAGGGCGCGGTGGCCCTGCTGCCACATGCAAGGCCACACGAGTCTCATCTGCTGCAGGGTCTTGTACCTCCTTGGGCGTCTTGAAGCCTAGACCGATGTTCTTGTAGTACCGAGGGAGTTTTTCCTTGCCGGTTTCTCCAAGCAGAACACGCTTCTTGTTTTGAAAGATCGTGGGCTGCTTTTGGTACGCACGTTCGGTCTGTAGGGACAATCGCTCGGTGAGCTCACCTGTCCACACTGGCACGCTTCCACCCCTTAACGCCAGCGCCATGACCACCCTAGACACACGACCAGCCTAGACACAGAATCACCCTAGACACACAACCACCCCGCATCTGTTCTAGTGTCCACACCAGGTCCAAACGTTTCCCGTCTTAAGGCCCGAATCCCGGCCTTTCAGCACCGCCGTCCCGAGCACACGCGCTCGCCCTCGGGAGCCACACCGCACGGACACGCAGCCCAGCATGGTGGGCCGGGGTGCGGGGCAGCCCCGCGTCCACAGCACCGAGCCATCGAGCCGGCGCTCACCCTCACGCTGCCCCACAGGACTGACGCCCAAAGCGCCTGAGACCCCACGGCTGTGTAAGCCCGGGACGTCGGAAGGCACAGGGCAGGCGCCCTCGCTCCGGCTAATTCGGAGGATGACGGAGACGGCAGAGAAGGAGACCCACGCTAGCCTAGGCGCCAGCCCTCAGCACGAACCTGAATGTCCGCCATCTTCCCGGCAGCCTGAGGAAAAGAGAGGTGGACCAACTCCCGGGTTTCCTTCTTCACTGCGCGAGGTCCGGAGCGGAAGTGACGTATTGCCAGTCCTGCACGGATTTAGGGGGCACTTCCGGTGCAGAGCACGCGATTCTGGAACTGTCTGTACGCCGCCATGATAGTTGAGGACTATGGGGACCAGAGTGGAGCCTATCATCTCGCGAGATCTCAGGAGGCCATTGCAGGGGATGGGCAGGCTGGGAAGGGACTTCCTGCGGTGCCGCGAAAGCAGCAGGGCGGGGTCAGGTTTCTTCGGGAACGGGAGTCACGTGGAATGTAGAATCGCGTGGTGGGCTCAGATTCCTGGGGGAGGCGGCGGTGGCCATGTTTTCCGGCTCACGTTATAGCTTTCTTTCCTTTATTAAAGTGTCGTCCACGTGTACCGGCGGCATGGCCTCTGTGGACCGCTCCTGACACCATCGTGGCCCTCCTGCAAACCACCCAGACTGGAGCTATAGGAGCCAAGTTTCTTTGCTTGTTGAGTGTCCATTCCACCCCCATTCCCTCTGGGTTTTTGTCCTGGCTACCTTTGGAGAGGACCACACCCCTCGGAAACGGAGGGACGCCAATCATTAAACTCAGGAGGCAGGAAAAGCTTTGTGCCAAATGGAGTTAGAAGGATTTTCCCGGCTATATCCAGGACAGTAAAGGCTACTGTCAAGATAGAATAACGTTTTGCAAATGGTGTTGGGATTCCTTTAATGCCAAGCACTCAGTTCCGTTTCAGACCAGCTAGGGCCATCTAGTGAGACTGCCTAGCGAAGCAAGCGACCTTCCATCCACCTAGGGGCAGCATAAAGAGGAAGGGATTTTAGATGTGTCTTTCTGGGATGTTACAATTTCACCAAAGATTTAATATGTAAAGGATTTGATGTTTGTTTTTTTTTTTAATCACCAAGAAAACAGACCCAGTGTGTGACAAACCATAAGCAAAATTATTTTAAGCTGGACGTGTTCATGGTCAACTGTTTACCACCCAACACCTCGAAAGCTGAGGGACAGAGGTCAACCCTACCCTAAACAAACTTGACCACTGACAGGATTCCTCCTCTACCCTGCACCAGCTAACTAGTCCAGGCGGGCCAGTTCAGCCATCCCAAAATTACAACCGTACATTACCACGTGGCCTTTTTTTCTGTGACAGTGTGTCTATTAAGTAAACCTGTAGTTGATTGAGGACGTGGCTCAGGGAACCACTATCAATTCTACATTTCAAATGCCCTCAGTTGCATGGTGGGTCTCACCTTTCATCCCAGCACCTGGACACATAAGGACCTCCAGCTTTGAAATCAGCTTGGACTACAGAATTGGTTCCAGGATAGGAAGCTACAGGGAAACAAACCCTGTCTCCAAAACTCAACCTCAGGAGCCAAGTTCCTGGTCATATGGTAGAACGTAAGGATGATCGAGACGTGCTAGCTGCCTAGGATACCTTTAATTGACAGGCTTTCTGATAGCCCTGACTCTCCTGGAACTCTGTAGATCTGCCTGAAAGGTGCGCACTGCCACCTGTAATCTCTTATCTGGTGTAGGCTGGTGGGAATTTGAGATTCCCACTAGGGCCAGGTTAGATCTCCTGGAGTTAGATGGTTGTGAGCCACCAATAAGGATGTCCCTTAAATAAACCCTTCATACCTTTACATCTGAGGAGCCATTTTAAAGTTTAGTTTGACCTCCCTTCCCTGGTTGGCACTGTTCCAACTAGCCTCCCCAGCCTTAACTCATTTAGGGCAGAGTTCCTGAAGCCCATGTGCTAGTGGCAATCCCATACTTCTGAAGCTGAATTTGAGTTAGTAAGTAAAACTATTTCAGGAAGGACCCATGGGAAGATTTGTTTGCACCTTTTGAGCAACGAAGCACCTTCGTGCCTTCAACAGAAGAGCAGACCACAGCCTGAAAATTCCAAATTTTTGGTCCCGTTGTTGGTACCCCTCTGTTCCTGCCTATATAGCAGACATAGTGCAAATATACCAGTTTTCTTTAACAGTCAAATAATTTATTAGCAACAGAATGCTGCAGCAAAAAGGAAAATTGCTTTCTGAGCAGCGCTGGGAAGGGGAAAAGGCAGTGGCTTCCCAGTGTGCACTTCTGAATCCCAGCCCAGATGTTAGGTCTCCATCCTCACAGCTGCAGAATACATTGATGGGCTGAGCAGCCCAGTCATTAACACTAAAGCCCAAGTAATTCCAGCTCAGAGCTTTTATAAAAACACCCTCTTTCCCACAGGAGCAGTGCCTAAAGCACCTTTGTCTCCACTTCCCTAGTCGGCAGTAGAGGAAGAGCAGGCCAGGCAGGCATGAGGCACAAAGAGTCTTTATTGGGCTCACACAAGGAGTCCATTGGTCTTGAGAACCTCTGTGAACTTGCAGATTTTCTTCTCCACGTTCTTTTCCGCCTGTTTCCGTAGCCTCTGTGGGGTAAAGACAAGTAAGTGATAGTGAATGCCTGCTCCTCTCCCAGAAGCACCCTCACCCAGGGCTGCAGCCCCGTCCTCACCAAGAGCTGCTTCTTCTTCCGGTAGTGCATCTTGGCCTTCTCCTTCCGCTTCTCCTCCAGAGTGGCTGTCACTGCCTGGTACTTCCACCCGACCTCATGAGCCAGACGCCCCAGGTAAGCAAACTGCAGGGGCACAAAGCTGTAAGGACATGGAAGGTGCCCCGGCAGCACAAGGATGAGCTAGAGAACCCTAGAGATTCTATTAAAGGACACATTCCCTTCCCCCACAGGAGCCCCTCCTGGCATCAGTTGAGCCCATGGCATTATCGGCACTGCCCATCAGCGGCATCCGCAGACCATCGTGAGAAAATAGCCATCATGTGCCAGTCTTGAGGTCCCCCCAGCCCACTCTGCAATTTGGAGCTTACCTTCCTGGTAGGCTTCAGCCGCACAACCTTGAGGGCGGCAGGGACCACCATCCGCTTTTTCTGTTAGGGAACGAGAGGGGCTCAGAGACCTGTGAGCAACACCTGGGAAGGAGGCTGCTGGGGCAGGCGTCTCAGCCAGTGGCGTTTTCATGAGGCTCAAACAATGTAGGTAATAGAACATCACAGACGCTGGTCGCACAGAGGCTGTGCCTTCCACGTAGCCCACAGGCCCAGCTCACTCACCTCGCACAGTGCGCCAAAAAATGCGGCTCGGGGCTCGGAAATGGTAGGGGCCTCGGGAGGGGTTGGTGTTCATCCGCTTTCGGAGAAAGGCCAGATACTTCACTGTCAACAGAAAAGGTGGGTGACGCCTCCTCAGTCCCAGAAACAGCTCCTAACTAGAGATCTGTTTTTGCAGGACAAGTCAGTGCCCCATCTGGAGACCATCCCTTAGCCCTAACTCACACTTGTTTCTGTAGAAGTTTCCGGAAATGTTGATGCCCTCACAGCGAACAACGACCACCTTTCGGCCTAGAAGAGAATGTGGGTTGTAGACAGTCAGGAAAGTTACACCTAACACCCAGCAAAACCAGCTCGAATGGAAAGCCAATCTCCTGCTCTAAAAATCCCTTGAGCCAGGAGTCCAGAACACGGAGGGGCTGGCAAGTCTCAGAGCGGTGCATGGGTTGATCTCACAGTCGTGAGACTCAAACGAAAGATGGTGATTGTTGCTCATCACTGACTCCCAGGCCAACAGGGAAATCCTGAAAGAAACTTACCCAGCAGTACCTGCTTGGCCACAATGGCCGCCAGGCGACCCAGAAGATGGCCTCGGCCGTCCAACACCAGAACCTGCGGGAGACAGAAAGGCTCAGGGGGCAATCTGGCTCTCCCTACGAGCTACCAACCACTCCTGCGCCTTTCCCCACAGGATGCCTATTAGCCAGATGAATAAGCCAAGGCAGCCTCGGCTGGCTCAGCACAGGGAAGGGAGACTTCAGGTGCCTGCAATTCCTTAGCTGAGCGAGCTTCACCGTACTCTCTACCAAGCCTCAAATTACTGGATAGCTGGGATCTACTGGCTCCTGTGGGAATGCCCTGTACTACAACGAAATTTGACACTAAGACTTGCTTTTGGGTAAGTTTAGGCCACAGTGGCTCTGCATCAGAGTCTCAACGTGCTCACGAGAACAGAAACCATCCTAACAGTATAAAGCAAATCCTTTTAACTCCGTATACAATGGCTGGCTGTCCTGTCTAGTAATTCGGGCAAGAAGCGAAGAGGTCTGCAACTCTCAATACATGTGCCGACAGCCCAGCCCAAACTACAGGGGACAGCCACACAAGAACCCCCTTCCACAACTGTCTTCCTAGAGAGATCTTCAGGGTACCAGACTTCTCCAAATGGGAACTTTTAAACGTCTAAAATTAACGTGAAACGTGCAATTCGACTCCTGACTAGCCACAAAAATCACGATGCTTCTGCTCAGTCTCCCGAACAGCTGACTTTACCCTACTGAAGATTTTAAGAAGGAAACCGGCCACCCCAAAAATCACAAAAGCAGGCGCCTCCGTTTCAGCATTTCCCATTACCTAGGAACCACATGAATGTACAAACACAGCAACGTGCACCCTACGCTCCTCGCATCCCAACAGCCCGGGATAAAGCCTGAAGGAATTCTTTGCGGGTGTTGGGAACCCAAGCCCCACTCCCGTCTTCCCCAGGGAAACCGTAGCATTCTCGGCGCCCCATACCTAGACATCGCGGCTTGCTATGCTCGCGTTACACACTCCCCTCGCGACAAGAAACTTTCTATTTTGCTTAACTGCCGCCCGTAAGTCCCACGGCACAGGAGGCGTGGGGCACAGGCCCCGTGCCGCTCCCGCCCGAAACCCACCCGTCCCCCTCACCGCCCAGCAAGCAGAGCCGACCTGCCCCTCCGCCATCTTCGGCAGCCGCCTGGGAAAGGAGGAGGTCTTGGCGCAGGGTTTCTTATCCCTTGCTGCAGGGGCGGAGGAAGTGACACAAGCTGGGCCGAACTAAAGGATTTCCGTCTTCTCATTGGTCGAAGCGGTGTGCATGCGCAGACTGGAAGGTGGGTCATCTTTTTATTGTCCAATCAGGACACCGTTTGAGTTAGCCCTTGGCGGCCATGACTGTGCGGGGCGGGAGATCACGTGGGTCCCGAGGAGGCTTCCCCGGGACAAGGCCGTCCAGCCCCGGCGGCCATATTTTGGAGGGAGTGCTCTTCTCCACTCGGAAGGCCGCTGTGTGGGCCGCCATTGCTCCCCTCCAGTAACGACGGTTGCAGAACACGTGGTGGCCATAAGGGGGCGTGCATCAGTCCTGGCCGGCTCACCCGCGTTTCGTTTGAACCATAGCGGTTAGCGTTTCCTCTCTTCACCCTCATGGTGTGCAAGACAATTACCGGCCTTTTCTGAGCCTAGCAGTCTCCCAGTATTAAACAGGTGGAAATAGTTATCGAAGATAAGAGTTCGGGGAGCCGGGCGGTGGAGGCACACCTTTAATCCCAGCGGATCTATGTGAGTTCGAGGTCAACCTGGTCTACAGAGGGAGTTCCAGGACAGGCTCCAAAGCTACAGAGAAACCTCGTTTCGAAAACAAAGCAAGCAAACAAAAAGAGTTGGGGGAAAGTTCCTGAGCTGCATCCATCTGCTTCTGTTTCCAAAGGCTTTGCATTAGCTGTGCACATTATCTGCGATGCCCTCCCTGCTCTGCACCTATAGCCCCCCAAAGCAAATAAAAAGCCAAACAAGTCGATTTGGCAGTCTCCGTGACACATTCCAGCTTGAGTCGATTCTACCTGGAGTCTCCAACACTTGGCTTTCCTGCCACTTTGCTGTCATGATCTTGGGGAACTGGGCTGTTCCTGCCTCACATCAGGGTTCTATGGAGCACTACCCAGCACCGAAGCAGGGCTACTGGAGGCCTCAGAAAACAAACAGGACCTTTTGTCGTTGGTTTTGGCTTTTGACGTAGGATTTCTGCAATTCAGGCTGGTCTTAAGCTTGAGATAACTGCCTCAGCTTCTGGAGAGATGGGATTACATCACCAAGCACCGCAAAATCCTGAAACCTAAAATAGCCCCCCCACTCCCTGTCCCATGCACAGACAGGTCCGGAAGAACTTGTAAAAACCATTTATATACAAGTTAATGGGGGCAAGGCCTTTGTACAGAGTGGGGTGAGTGGGGCTTTTGCTGGATTCTGATGTTGACTCCATCCTGGGGAGAGAGCTGGAGTGGCCGCGCAGTCCAAGAGGGGGCCAACCTCCACCCAGCTTCCCCTGTGTCCAGGCTGTGCGGCGTCTGTCAGGTGAGTCCTGCTTTGCCTCAGTATCCTTCTCTGTAAAATTGATCGATAGTCTGTCTGAGGACTGGCGTTTGGTCCGCGCTCTACCTTTGAACCACGCCCCCGCCACGCCCCTTTCAAGCAAGCCCTCTACCACTAATCTACATCCTCCTAACCCTCTCCACTTCTCCCATTCCCACCCCACCCCACCCGGTTTAGGTTCGTCTGGGATTTCTATGTACTAGTAGATAACCCAGAATCCTTGCCCTTTTGCCTCTTCTCCAGTGTGCGGGGACTACAGACTTGACTACAAAATCTGTTCCAAGGGTTTTTTGCTTTGTTTTTGTTTGTTTGTTTGTTTGTTTGTCTTTCCAAAGGGAGTCTCACAGCCAGGCGTGGTGACACACACCTTTAGTTCTATCACTGAGGAGGCAGAGGCAGGTGGATATTTGTCTAAGCCAGCCTGGTCTACACAGCAAGTCCAAGTCAGGTAGGGCTACCTGAAACCCTGTTTCAAAACAAACAAATCATGGCCCTCAAGCTGACTTAAAGAATAAAAGGCCTCTGCCTCTGAGCCTGTCACCCTGAGTTCCCCGGGGACCCATCTGATGGAAGGAGAGAAGTGGCTCCAGCAAGTTGTCTTCCCACTAGTGCACAGGCACAGTGGTGCACATAGGCCACCATGCGGAATTATTTTTAAATTTTTATTTATTTTGGGGAGGCTTGAGTGTAATTTAAAAAAAAAAAGAGCAATTACTCTCAGGTGTGAGAGTACACACCTGTGGTCCCAGATCTCCAGGGGTAGAGGCAGGAGGATGGATTACCCAGGAGTTCCAGGCCACCTGAGCTACATAGACACCATCTCAAAAAATAGTAAATAGAGTTGATATTACAGACATGTGCCACTATGTCTGATAAATGTTGTGTGTTTCAGAAACAAGCCCAGAAATAGGAAACCACAAAGTTTAGACACTGTTCCTCCATCTAATTGTTTTAACTAAGCCAGCAGGGAGCCCGTTTCCCCGCAGTGAGAATATTAGTGCAGATACAATGTTTCCAGTGGCAGTGTGGCTGGCTGCAGCTATAGATGGAACCCGGAGCCTTTCTTGTGTGAGCTCCCCCAGCCCCGCCCAGCATTCCCCCAGCCCCGCCCAGCACTGCTACTCTTCAGTGTTCTAAGTTCCCAGGGCTGGCCTTGCTGTTTAAACCCCTCTGCCTCAGCCTCTCGACTACTAAGATTTCAGGCAGGCAGCTCCACGCCCAGCAGCCATTTTTTATTTTAAGGAGATGGGATGACAGAAGCAGCCACACAGAGCTACAGTGTCCTCTCTTTCTCTTTCTTCCTTTTTGCTTTTCTTAAAGTCAGTATTTTCCAGCTTCAGCATCGCCAGCTCAGAAGTACTGGAATGTTCATCACCATTCCTGGACATTGTGTCCTCTGGCAGGGCATGGAGTTCAGTAGCACAGTATTTGCCTAGCTTTTTCCTTGTTTGGTTCCCAACTCTAACACCGAGAAAACCAAGAAAAAGAAAAAGAAAAGCCTTGTTGTATGTAACATGCCTGTGGGCCCAGCTATTAGGAAGGCAGGGGCAGGAAGATTCACCAAGGTGTTCAGAGTCAGGTGGGCAACATAGTGAGACCTCATCTGCAAAAACATCAGGGTCACTGATTGAGTTGCTTTGTGTGTCTCACAATGGCCTCGAACTCACCGTGTAGCCCAGGATGGCCAGACCTTGCAGCAATCCCCCTGCTCTGGCCTCTCGAGTGCTGGGGTTACAGGTGTGGCCTCATATGAGAGGGATTATGGATGCCTGCAGGGGGCCTCACCTTCTTGCCTGCCTCCGCGCTTGCTCTCCCCACACCAGACTCTTCCCTCACACTTCCATGGCTCTTTGCTGCCTTGTGATAGTGACGACTTCGGAAATCCCCTGAACTTTGTGACACTGGAAGCTTATCAAAGACTGTTCTTCCCTAACACACACCACTCCCCAGAATTCCTGCCCCTCCTATGACATAGTGAGCCCCCCAATCTTGGATTGACTCTGTATCCCCCAAGCCTGGCCATTCCATGCTCTGGTAGAAGCAGAAGACTCACCGAGACAAGACCTTGGCGGAGTCAACGCTGCACAAGTTTCATATTCTAGGGATGGGAGGTGAGGGGCACCTGAGGCCCCACAAAGTCAGCCTCAGTACACCCGCAAGGCCACCTGCCACCCTCATCCCTCACCACCCACGCCACCCAACTGCCTGGACTCTCGACTCACCCCAGGGTGGTGCACTGTCCTCCTCCATTTTGCCCTCTGACAGTGAAGGTACCAGGCAGTTGCCAGCAGAACGAGTGTGAGAGGCAGCAGCAGCAGCAGGAAAAACAGATGACTGGACGGAGGCTCTGGACGCCCAGTGGCTTCTAGGGCTACAGGATTCTTTGGGGGTAGCAGGGTAGAGGACTCTGGGGAGAGAGCAGAACAAGTAACAGAGGGGACTCATCAGAGCAAACACTGAGTATCCTGGACTACGGCTGACGGTGCACGAGGGGCCCTCCAACAACCAGGGTCAAAACCTGAGTGAGGATGAGCCAGGCCTGGGCAGCACAAGCCTTTGATCAAGCATTCCAGAGACAAAGGCAGATGGAGCTCTGTGGATTTCAGATTAGCATGGTCTACATAGTGAGCTCCAAGACAGACAGGGATATTTAGTGAAACACTTTCAAAAATAAACCAAGTTGGATATAAAAAGTATGAGCCTGGGGCTGGAGAGATGGCTTAGTGGTTAAGAGCACTGGATGTTCTTCCAGGACCCAGGTTCAATTCCAGGTATCAACCTGGCAGCTCACAACTGTCTGTAGCTCTAGTTCCAGGAGTTACCAATCCAATACCCTCTTTTAGCCGGGCGATGGTGGCGCACGCCTTTAATCCCAGCACTCGGGAGGCAGAGGCAGGCGGATCTCTGGGAGTTCGAGACCAGCCTGGTCTACAGAGCTAGTTCCAGGACAGGCTCCAAAGCCACAGAGAAACCCTGTCTCGAAAAAAAAACAAAAAAACAAAAAAACAATACCCTCTTTTGAGCTCTGTGCACGTGCACACACACACACACACATGCACACACGCAAACTCGCACGCACACACAAGAGCACACAGATTAACAGAAATGGTTAATTTAAGTTAAAAAAAATGCTAGTTACAACCGGGCAGTGCTGGTGCCACCTTTAATCCCAGCACTCGGGAGGCAGAGGCAGGCAGATCTTTGTGAGTTCGAGGCCAGCTTGGTCTATAGAGTGAGTTCCAGGACAGGTTCCAAAGCTACAGAGAAACCCTGTCTCAAAAAAACCAACCAAACAAATAAAAAGCTAGATAGAAACAAGCTTAGGTCTAGACAGATGGCTCAGCCATTAAAGGATAGGCTCACAACCAAAAATATAGCCTAATCTAAGGCCAAGAATTTATAATTATTAATGAGTATCCCATGTGGGGCTAGAGAGATGGCTTAGCAGTTTAGAGCACTGATTGTTCTTCCAGAGGTTCTGAGTTCAATTCCTGGAAACTACATGGTGGCTCACAACCACCTGTAATAAGATCTTGTGCCACCTTCTGGCTTGCAGGGACACATGCAGGCAGAATATTGTATACAGGGGGCTGGAGAGATGGCTCAGAGGTTAAGAGCACTGACTGCTCTTCCAGAGGTCCTGAGTTCAATTCCCAGCAACCACATGTGGCTCGTGGTCATCTATGATGAGATCTGGTGCCCTCTTTTGGCATGCAAGCATACATGGAAGGAATGTTGTGTACATAATAAATAAATAAATCTTTAAAAAAAGAATATTGTATACATAATAAGTAAATAAATATTTTTTGTTTGTTTTTTGTTTTTTTTAAATTTATTTATTTATTAAAGATTTCTGTCTCTTCCCCGCTACCGCCTCCCATAAGTAAATAAATCTTTAAAAAAATAAATCTCTATGTCTTTATTTGGGAGATGACTGGTGGCCCAAAGAGAAAGCCTGCTCCAATTACTATATATAATTAATACGTGGTAACATGAAAAAAATCAAGTGCTATGAAGCCAGATGTGATGGCTTCACACCTATAATCTCAGCACTCAACGCCAGCTTAGCCTATATAACGAGACCCTACCTCAGAGAAGAAAAAAGGGGCTGGGGAGGTGGCTCAGCAGCTACGAGCACTGGCTGCCCTTGCATTGGATCTGATTTCATTTCCCAGCACCCACGTGGTGATCCACAACTGTGTAATTCCAGGTCCAGGGGATCCGATGCCCTCTGCTGGCCTCTTTCAGCACTAGACACACATTCAGTGCACTTACAGCTTGTAGGTAAAGCACTCATAAAAAAAGTAAGTCAGAGGGAGAAGGAGGAGCAGGAGGAGGAGGAAAGAAAAAATAAAGAGAAAAGAGAAAGGAGAAAGACCTTGTTTCAAGTTCCAGCTAGTGGAAGCAGAAGCCTCAAGGACACACAGTAAGCAAGCCTGGTGGTACTGGGGGTGCTGGTTTTCGGCGTTGCTGCTACCTGGTTGGCACTGCACCTCTAGGCACCGAGAAAAATTCTGGCAGGCCTTCCCCATGCAGGGCTTCAGAGCCAACAGCTGCGTGCAGGTGTCCTGCAGGAGGTGGGAGATGTTGGTCTGGACGAAGCGAAGACATTCCGGTAGAGGCTGGGAGCAGGGATGGACAGGTCATCACCATGTCACTCCAGAGGCTCCACCTACCCAGGGCCCTGACATGCAGAGGACACAGAGCCAGTGGGCCCAGGTCTCAAAGACTCCAGGGTCCTCCAGTTGTTAGAGGAGAGAACCCCTTAGTAATGCCTTCTTCACCTACTGAGGCACGGACCCAGTACCAGGTGACCCCAGGGCTCGGAGGTTCCAGCTCTGCCTCTGCGGTTTGCTGTGGGCAAAAGAACTCCCCAGAAGACCTAGCAGAGCTGAATGTACTTTAAGGCCCGGGGAGGGACTTGGCTCTTTTCGTTTGTTACCAAGTTCCAGTGCTAACCCGGAAGGCACATGAGGTGACAAAATGTATCTCCGTGTTGACAGCCTCCAGGAGTTTTTGCATCTCAGACCCTGCCACAGTCTTCAGCTGCTCCATCCAGCGCTGAGCCAGGAAGAGGCTCCACAAGGCCTTGCAGTGTTTCTCCTGCAGACCAAAACCCAAGCCAAATCACAGGGAAGAGGGGCGGAACCAGATGACTAACAGGGGATGGGCCCAGCCAGAGGTTGAGGGAGGGTGGGCGGGTGATGGCTGAAAGGGATGGGTGGGGCCAGATGACTGAGGGAGGGCGGGGCTAGGTGGCTGAAGAGGATGGGCGTGGCCAGATATCAAAGGTAGGTTGGGTGGGATCAGGGTACTGAAAGAGGTGGGGCCTTGCTAGAGACCAGAAGGGGTCGTGTGAGGAGGGACAAAACCAAACCCCTGAGATGGATACCAGGGGAGAAAAGTGGCTACAGGTCTGAAGATCCCTGACGGAGAGGCGGGGCCAGGGGCCTGAAAGGGAGGGCCCACTACACCTAAGGGAGAAATGAACAGTGAAACCAGTCTTGAGAGCTTGAGAGAGGGAGGATGGCGGGACAGACTTCTGAAAGATCGAGATAGGACGCCTGGATCTGATGCGGGGAGGCGAGGGTCTAAATCGCCAGATCTGAGGAAGCAGGAGGTGGCCCCATAGCATTGCCCTGAACGATGGCGCATCTTGAGTCTGGATCCCACCTCCATCCCAGGGCCCTCCCGACAGTGACTCACGTCCTGAAGGTTGATAGCCACAGTGACTGGGTAATCTTTAAGCAAGTAGTCAGTCTGTGGGGAGAAACAAGGAGAGACGACAAATTAGAGAGGATCGGAGGAGTTGGAAACAGACCCCGAGACAAGGGAACATGAACACAGGACCCACATAGAGAAGAAGGGACTCCAAGATACAGTAGGAAAGAGAGCCTCAGAGAAAAAGAACAGAGGTACACGGGCCCAGAAATTGAGAGCGACCCAGAGAGAAGCAGAGACAGACAGTAGAACAGGGACTCAGAGAGAGCGAGCCCACAGAGACACTGTGAGAGGCAGGGCAGGGCAGAGGTGTGGGGTAGGACCAGCACAGTGGTCTGGCCTGGGCAGGAGCCGGCTCACCAGCTCGCTGATCCTCAAGTGGAAGTTGGAGGAGATAGGACTGTGGCTGAAGTAGCAGTCAGGTGTCCCCCGCAGACAAGGACTCAGCAGCAACAGCAGCAGCAGCAGGGAGGACTACAGGGAGGTCGTGTCAGCACCTGACTTCCATGCAGGGGCTCCCTGTGTCCTGCTCCTTCCTTAACTGGGTGTCATCTTCCCTGTCTCTGCCTGTCCTGCGCCTTGGCTGCTGTGACAAACCTGTGTCCATATTCTCCATCTCATCCTGCACCGTCCTCTTTCTTCTGAGGCTGTCCCGGGTCTCTCTCTCCATGCCTCCATCCCTTGCCCATCTCCCTTCTCCGCCCTGCTCCATCACCCCTCAGGTATACGCACATTTGGACTCCAGGCTGGTACCAGCACTGTCATCTCGGCCGGGGACCCCTCAAGCCTGTGGCAGGGTCTTGGGAGGGACAGAAGAGCAGACCTCGCACCCTGCAGCCCCTTACCCACTCGCCCCTGTGCCCCGCCGCCCCGCCCTGCCACCCTTGATGTGGGTGCGTTTCCGCCTCCTGCTCCCTCAGGCTTCCTGCATGAGCCCCAGTTACGGTGAAAACTCATCTCCCTTTCTAAGAACCCCGACCGACCGACGGTCCTGCCCCAGAATCCTCCCCAGCCTCGCACCCTGCTCTCACAGTCCGGGAATGGGGACCTTGGGACCGCCCCTCAGGGACCTAGAAAGCCATTCACCCCACGCACCAGGCTTGCCCCAGCTGGGTGTGGAAAGACCAAATTGGTGACAGCCAAAGACCGAAAGTGAAAGAAGCTTTGGGGTAGACAGGGCAAGGGGTGAGTTCGTGCCCGGGCGGGACGCGCCACCCAGCGGTGAGAAGTGGTGCGGCAGCAGGCCTCAGCTAGGACAAGCTCACGGACAGCATGAAAGATCTAAGGTTGCAACCAGGCCTTCCAGTAACGACCAGTGCCCATCACATCAGCTGCCACCGTACTGGCCTTGCCGCCACCATCTCCCACAAAGAATGTCACAGAGGCCTTCCTTCTGAGTTTCCTACTTCCCCAACTGCTCGCAGGGACACAGAACTTGTGAACCTGCCAGCCAAGTTCCTCCAGTCTCTGTGTTCTTGATTCTTTCTGGGCTTCAGCGGAGGCGGTGATGGTACAGATCGGTCACCCCAGTTACCAAGGAGCCTGAGGCAGGAGGACTGGAGATTAGAGGCTGGCCTTGGATTCAGAGCGCATTCAAGGCTGGCCCGAGCAATTTACTAAGACTCTGTCTCAAGCAGTATAAAGAGAGGGTCAGATACACAGCTCAGTTGGAGAGCAGCTGCCTTGAAGCCATGAGTAAGCGGCAGAGTACTTGTCTATCATGCTCCAAGCCCTTGACTCCAAAAAAGAGTGCCACAAAGATCTGCAGAATTTGGTCCTGTGCTGGGCTAACCTTGTTCGAATCCAACACTAGCCTGGTGTGTGAGGTGGGTTTACTCTCACCCCAAGGTCTTTGCACGGACTCAGCATGGGGGACACCCTCCCCTCCAGATACCTACGTCTGCCTCCATCTTACACACACAAGGCGGAGGCTTCATGACTCCCTCTTCCAGGTTGCACCCCTTGCACTACCGGACTGACCCCCACTTTGCTCTTATCAGCACTGAACATGCCCTGTGGCTCCCTTATCTTATCCATTGTCTTGGCCTCTTCAGTGGCTGTCTCCACCCTGAAAAGTCCTTGCTCTGAGAACTCTGCCCGCCTGCAGCGTCAACCACACGCAGATTGTCCAGCAGGCCCTGACTCTTCCTGTCCATCATTGCTGTGGAGCACAGGTGGTGCTTGGGTTTGGTTTTGGTTCTTGGGAGATAAGTCCTCGGGATTTTCCAAGTATGGGGAGTGCCGTTGTTTATCAGGGCTGGCACCTGGGCTGCACCTGAGTTGCCCTTCAGAAAGGAGCACACTGTCCCTGAAAGGTTGAGAATGAAGACTGTGGCACCGTGGGTGTAGGAGAACCAGGAGTTCAAGGTTAGCCTTGGCTACATAAGACCCTGTCTCAAAAAAGGCAGGGATGGTGATGCCACCTTTAATCCCCAGCACCTAGGATCTCTGTGAGTTTGAGGCCAGCTTGGACTACATGGCGAGACCCCGTCTCAGGAACATAAGACAAAAGAAAACCCAACCAACCAAACAAAACTAAGCCAGGCTGGCAAGGTGGCTCAGCAGGTAAAGGTGCCAACTTCGAAGCCAGATAATCTGAATTAAATCTCTGGGACCCACAGGAGAGGAGAGAGGCCACCTCCAAAAACTGCTTTCTGACCTCCATGTGCAAACCGTGGCAAATGACATAAATAAAATTTGAAAAGGAAGGGGGCTGGAGAGATGGCTCAGTGGTTAAGAGCATTGCCTGCTCTTCCAAAGGTCCTGAGTTCAATTCCCAGCAACCACATGGTGGCTCACAACCATCTGTAATGAGGTCTGGTGCCCTCTTCTGGCCTGCAGACATACACACAGACAGAACATTGTATACATAATAAATAAATAAATATTTAAAAAAATTGAAAAGGAAAAAGTGGCTAAGGGTAGGACTGACTGTGGTGACACTTCCTGCTGGGCGATCCAGGACTCCCCAGCTACAGGTGCCACCCCCGAAAAGGTCCTCTCCTGTACTGCAGCCTAGCCCGGGCTACAAGAGACCCTGTTTCAAAAAGCCAGTAATAATGATGAAGATGATGCTGGTCTAAGTCTCCAGGACCCCAGTCTTTCCATCAAAAGCCCCCAAGCTGGACCACAGTCTCAGAGATGATGTGGGGTCTCTGTATCCCTTTTCCCACCATTCTTTGTTTGCGACCACAGTGATCTGAGGCAACTCCTATTTTAGCTTCCTGCTGATATAACAAGAGATTGAGTGGCTGGAAACAACACCTTATCTCCAGCAAGGCAGTGACGGCGCTCGCATGCATGCACGCATGCATGCACGCATGCACGCACGCACTCACGCACTCAGGAGGCAGATGCAGATGAATCTCTAAGCTTGAAGCCAACCTGGTCTACAGGACTGAGGGAGTTCCAGGACAGCTAGGGCTACACAGAGAAACGCTGTGTGTGTGTCTGTGTGTGGGGTGTTTGTGTGTGTGGTGGTGGTGGTGGTGGTGGTGGTGGTGGTGGAGGTGGGGAGTTTATCTCCATTAGGTCTAAAGTCTAGAAGTCCAACTGGCTCCCTCTGCAGGACCCAGGGGAGAAGAGCTTTAGGACAGCAGCTTCCCAAGGCTCCTGGTGTTCTTGGGTTTGCGCCAGCTCCCTCAGTCTGATCACTGCTCTCCTCATGCACATGCCTCTACTGTGTCCTTTCGATGAGTCACAGGTTCCATGTTCTTCGATAATGCATGATGACGCATCGCAAGACCCTGCTGCCGCGGATCATACAGCACTTGGCTAGCAAGACCCTGCTGCCGCTGTGCGCTTCGCAAGACCCTGCTGCCGCACATCATACAGAGCTTGGCTAGCAAGCGCAAAGCCCTGGATTCCATCCCCAGCACAGCAGAAACCAGGCTGGGCAGTGCACACCTGTAATGTCAGCAAAACCATCCTTCACTGAGACTGAAGCCAGCCCAAGTCTTGCAAAACAACCAGTCTTGCATCTCCAACTCCAGTCTGCCTAGGCTCCCCTGTGCTCCGAGTTCCGACTGCTGCTGTATAGATTGTGGGGTGCGCAGGCCATGGTTAGCATGTTCTTAGAGCACCAGGGAATCTGTCACAACCTGGTGCTGGCTTTGTCACAGTGAGAGCTTGGCTAGCCCCTGGTCCTCATAAGTTGTTGAAGTTTTTATCTACTCTTAACTGGGTCATGAGGTAGTAAACTGGACAAAAATACAATGTAGCTTCTCTTTGTGTAGCTCTAGTGAGTGAACCAGGGCTCACACATGCTGGGCAGGGCTCTGCTATTGAACCATGTCCCAGCCCCTTACTGGGGGATACTAGGCAGGAGCTCTACTGCTGGCCTACACCTCAAACACTGTAGAGTTTTCTGTATCTTCCTTGATCCACCTGCTCGAGGTAGATGGTCTGCAGCTCTACAGGTCCCTCCTGGGAACTCCGGCATGTATGTCTTTCTTTGGCCAATGACCTGAGAGTGAAAAGTGAAAGTTCTTCTTTTTTTTTAAAGTGAAGGTTCTTCATGGTAGGCGTGGGAATGGGTGTGGGGAGTGGGCCTGCGTTGTGACTGTGTTGCCTTAACTTTCTCGTGTGTTGGAAACTGAACCCCACATTCACACTGTTAGCATCTCTAGCTGGAACTTAAATACAGTGATACACTAGACTTGGTATTTCAGCACTTGAAGTGCTGAGGCAGGAGGATCACAGTAAATTCTGGAACAGCTTAGGCTACACAGTGAGTTCCAATTCAGCCAGGGTTGGTCAAACTCTCTCTTTGAGAGTCTTTTTTTAAAAATATTTATTTATTTATTATGTATACAATATTCTGTCTGTGTGTATGCCTGCAGGCCAGAAGAGGGCACCAGACCTCATTACAGATGGTTGTGAGCCAATATGTGGTTGCTGGGAATTGAACTCAGGACCTTTGGAAGAGCAGGCAATGCTCTTAACCACTGAGCCATCTCTCCAGCCCTCTTTGAGAGTCTTATGTAGTAGTTAAGGAAGTTCACGAAAACCCAGAATAAAAGATAACAAATGTTTACTGGGGAACACTCACAATAAGAAAGTTGCTGTGGTCCTCTGCTCTGTGGGCGCTGGAAGCTGCTAACAGAATCCAGACCATCAGCTAAGAGAGAGCAAACATGTTTTTTGTCTGCACTTACCTCAGACCACGTCCTAACAGGCTGGCACCCAAAGGCTGCTGGCTGAATGAACTCCCAAAACACCCTTACTACGTACACTATGTAGTGTAGCTCCGGCATGGAACAAGATAGAAAAGGCTGCGCTCAAACTCAAGGAGACCCTCTTGCCCTGCCTCTGGGATTAAAGGTCTGCGCTACCACTCCCAGCAAGACTCTGCCTCAGAAAACTTTAAAACATGGGACTGGAAAGATGACTCAAGATTAAAATCACATACAGGATCTGAGTCCAGTCCCATGGTGGGTGCAGCTCCATGGCATCCAACACTCTTCTGGCCTCATGTGCCCATATCCACTTACATAATAAAACTAGAGAAAACATTGTGCTGGCTGGGTTTTGTTGGGCTTCTCTGTGTAGCCCTCACTGTCCTGGAACTCTAGAGATCCCCTGCTGTAAGCTATAGTCATGGGAGGGGAGGAAGCTCAATCGGCTAAGATCTGGCTGCAGGCAAGCCTGTAGGGCATTTTTTTTTCCGAGACAGGGTTTCTCTGTGGTTTTGGAACCTGTCCTGGAACTAGCTCTTGTAGACCAGGCTGGCCTCGAACTCACAGAGATCCGCCTGCCTCTGCCTCCCGAGTGCTGGGATTAAAGGCGTGCAC